CCCTTAGTGGCAAAGTCGTCGGCAAGCATTGCGGCGACTGCCTCCGCAGCCATTAAACCTGACGGAGGAAAGTGAATAAGCGTGAATGGGAGATTAATCGAGTTAACATCGCGCGGGATCGGTTAGTTGCGGGACCGTTTGGTCGTGTTCGCAAGAAAGTGAGGAGGACTTTTACTATCACGCGAGCTCTCGATATATGCGTTTGGTCGGCTCAATCCGCGATGTCTCGGAATGTCCGTGAGATTTTAGAATTTCGCACATTCGCGACTGTATCCTCCGATTATTCGTTTGAGATTTTATACGACGTTTATATAATTGACAGGACACCTGCCCGATATCGCCATGTAGCGAGTCGCGAATCGACGTTACTTTCCAAGAAAGAATTCGACTTTTCATTCTATCAAGTAATTACGGAAGAGCCGTGCGACAGTCGCGTAACAAACACAAATGTGACTTCGCGTAATCGTCGAAACCGGCTTTAAAGCTATTGGTCGATTTACTCTGACAGTTGATAATTAATTTATCGTTTTCCTTCTCTGAGCGGATGCACGTTATTTATAATCGTCACGTACTTACTATAATTGAGAATAACTTGCACCGGTCCCGCCTCGTTCATACCCTGAAGACTGATCTTCTTGTCTTTGGCGGACAATTTGGCTCTAGCAGCACGAACGATCATCAATTCTTCGTTCATCTTCTTCAGTTCTAGTGTAAAATCGCCCACTACGTCGGCTATTGAAGCAATAGAAATGTATGTTGATAAATTCTCATTAATTTTTGCTCGCTATCTCATGTAAAATATTGCGTGCAAGTTATTCCTTACTAAAGTTTCCGCTAAACAGGCCATTGCCATGTAACATCTCCTTTCCCACTTTTCCCGTAAGCGTGTATTGAGACTTTACGCGAAGCAGCGGGACGCGTATTCTCAAAATCACAACCATCACGTCGCCCTAAAGAATTTTTTCAGAGTATATAAGATATAGAAACAAATTCTTTTCTTTCCTTCTCATATTAATTCATGGATATATCAGAAAATAATAAAAAAAATTTTTAAACAATTCAAAATGTGGGATTTGAATAAAATATCAATTTTTTACTTCATCAGTTTCCTCGGGATGCGCTCGCTTCGTTCTCTTGGTATCATTGAGTTTTATATTTTGAGAAGCGCTATTATTTCTCGCGTTCATTCCACCATAATGATAGATCAACTGCATGCTTTCTTCAAAGTATCCTTGCTGCTCCTGATAACTCTTCGCATACCTAGTTAAATTCTTTAAATTTTTATCTTCCATCGCAGCTTTAAACATATCATTCCTCTTCCTCAAGGCTTCACCTTCCGTAAAATTGTGAATAATAAATCTTGTATTTTCCCGAATGTCCTGAATATGAGAATTCAAAATATTTTACGAATCGCACAAAAACTGATAATTTAAAAAAGAAAGAAATAGAGAGAAAAGAACAAAAAAAAAATAAAATAAAATAAAAATACCTTCATGACATCCTCAATGCCATATACTTGTCGATTCTCTACGGGATTGTTACCTAAGTTACCGAAACGTTTCATACTTCCGTTAGCTTTGTCATCCGCGTAGATAATATCGATATAACCCGTTCGCTCTCTCATTACGTTTCTCGATAATTTAACATTGCTCGAAGGTGTAACGTTTGATCGTAAAGACTGTTCTCTATTATACAACGCAGGCGGTCTTGCATCACCCTGATTTTTTAACCTAGTCTCGACTGTTTCCGAAGCAGAAACCTGTTTTAATAAATTTTGTAGTTTGAAAGTTTCTGCATATATTAATTACACTAACATTACTTCATTCTAGAATGTGCGGGAGATTTATGTAAAATTATTATATAATATATATAATATACAAACAATAATAATTTTATAACGCATAATTATTCAAATTATGCAGAGAACAATTAAATAAACCTCAATCAAACCTCAACATCCTCGATTCGTTTTCCATATCTGTCATCGGCGTCTTGTCGTGGCCCATATTTTCGGCTGTCTTTCTGATTTCCTCTAAACTGAAAGCCCTTTGTATCCTCACAATCAATTATGTCTTCACTGCTTCGCGAACTTCCTTGATATCCTTGAATATCTTTCGCTTTCTGTGCATAAATAGGCTGAACATAAGTCGGGCGATTAAAATCTTCGAAATTTCCGGGATTTGTCTCAAAATTGCTCGACGCTTTTAAATTGCCTCTACGAAAGCCATCGGAACGAAAAGGCGTCCGTCGGTCATATTGTTGATTTTGTTCAAATATCCTGGAACCGTCTTGTTGCAGTTTTTCGAAGCGAGCTTCTTGATAACGCGAAGACGGTTTGATATCAGTGGTTCGATTCACGGGCGAAACAACGTCTTCGAAACTCTCTTTTGCTACATCAGGTTCCCTCATCATGGTATGGAATCTGTATCTGATGGAATCCACGTCTCTGATATTGCTGTAGCTCACGTATCCGGCCTCAAATTCGCTCAAGTTCGAGTTGAGTCCACCGCGAGCGACGTGGATGCTCTCCAAAATCGATTCGTTGAGACCGACAATTTCCAAGTTCCTCAGGATCACCCTGTAACTGGTCTCGCCCTCGGATTGATCAATTTTGATTACCGGCACCCTCAACGGATCCAGCTTGCCTATCTTCGCCAGACCACCGGACACCGTCTTGTTCCAGAGTATCCGGGACATTTCTAATAACGCGCATCTCGCCAAAGTTATCGTAGAGAGTATTAAAAGTATGTGAAAGATCTTCTGTGACTCTAATCTTTGCATCTTGTCTTTACAGCTAATAATTTCTCTGAACGCGACAGTAGTTTTCAAATTTTTGCCAACTTCACTCGTCGATAAAAATGTCGGACTTATCGTATTTTGTTACGATTGAACAGAATTGATTTTTCAATAAGGTACGTCGATCTCCCAAGCGTAGATTGGTTTATAAATCAACACCAAGATAATACCGATAATAATGAATATTAACAGAAAACATACAAGTATCATGTACGTTAGCATTCGATTCAACATATATTGCGTCTCGTTAGTTTTTGATACTCGACGATTCCATCATCTCGGAGATAACGATTCTTTACAAAATCAAAAAATATCAACGATGTCTACAAACTTAGAGCAAAACTGTCGACTGCAAGCCGATGATGCACTCGCGCAAAGTTTTTATAGTCAATTTATAGTGGAAGGGCATAAAGGATCTGGGCCATGGACCAATCTTATATGATGCTGGTTAACTAAGTGGTTCTTAGTCAGACATCGATATATGTTCTTCGGTACGCACATTTCCTTAAATTCCCCTATTACGCGGTGATGTAATGGAGAGCAAGGTCCTCGGACGGCCTTCTGTTACGCGGTAGATCATTATTGCATAAATAAAGATTAAAAAATTTCAAATAAATATATTTTTATCAAGAATTATACACAAACATTGAAAAACTTAAATTAGATCTTCAAATTAAATTGCACCACAAAAATGAAACGCAAGTTATTTCATGTCGAACAAGCATATTAACTCATAAGTAAAGGAGAGCAACGTGAGAGGGGGGACTATTAAAATCGCGCGATCAGCGCATTGCGATAATCGATTGTCAAATTTTTTCAGCATTTCGGTGTATCAATGAGTTATTTCACTTGCGGACTTCATCGTAGCCACAATGCACACAAGCGCGAATATATTTGCATTTTTGCTGATAATAGTTGGCTTTATCGCAGTGAGATCTCGAAATATACGTAAGTAAAACCCAGATTGTTTTGTAAGATAGTTTTTTACTTACTTGATTATATTATTGCGCATGATCATTTATCTTATATAAGTGTTCTAATATAAGTTCCATAAAATATTGAATTTTTCGAAATCTGATATAATTTTACATACATAACGATTTTTAATAAAATATTATAGCAAATAGTAATATGCTATATCAAATTTCTTTGTTAATATGTTTCCTAACAATTTGTATATTTTGTATAAAATGTTAAATGTTACCTATTAATGTGTTAAATGTTAATTACTACATTATTAACATTAAACGTTATTTTAATAACACAGAATTTGCAAGAAAAATTATAAATAAAAAATATGTATTTTCTCCTTAGCGCCGTTCCTGAAGATATGTCACCGCAATGATCCAAATCTAAACGAATGCGTAAAGCAAAGCGTGAACTCGTTAAGACCTTATCTGAAAACGGGCATTCCAGCATTACAAATACCACCTTGTGAGCCGCTTCGCGTACCACAAATTGAAATCAGTCAAGCAGTTGGTCCAATTTCCATTACATCGACATATACTGATATTGAGGTTCAAGGTGGAACAAATTTCACCTTAAAGAGCGTCAAGTAAGTCCCGCATTAGATCAAATTAAAAAAACGAGTTATGCAAAACTCATTCTGCATTTAAAAATCTGAGCTTGTAAAACTTTTTCTGTTTATTTAATTTTTAATTTTGATTTATATTAATTGTATTGTGTATTAAAATTATTTATATCATAAATTCTATTTTGCACGCAGAATTTATATAACACTCTTTTTTTCAGAATTGATGTTGATAAGGATCGCGTTAGGTTGAAACTGTACCTTCCACGTCTTGAAATGATCGCGCGCTACAATATGAAGGGAAGGATCATGTTGCTGCCAATAAACGGAAACGGATTAGCCCGTGGTAATTTCACGGATATCGATATCATAGCCACTGTTCAAGGTGAACGTTATCAATCTCAAAAAACTGGCGAGATTCATTATCGTGTGGTCGACTTTTACGTGGACTTTGACGTTGGAAATGCCAACATCTATCTAGATAATTTATTCAACGGCGATGGTACTTTATCCAATGCTATGAACCTCTTTTTAAACGACAACTGGAAAGTTGTAGCGGCCGAAATTAAACCAGCTCTCGAGAATACCGTTTCAGATATATTTAAAACATTCTCGAATAAGATTTACTCGAAGTTTCCGCTGGATACTTTATTACCACCCTAAATATATGTAATCGTTTTGTATTAATCTTTTACCGATATAAAAAAGTTTTTATAGGTAAATCTATATACAAGGGCTGTCCATGAAGAAAGCGAAAAAAATAAAAAAATCGTCACGTCTAGAAAATTGCCATGAACGCCGGATACAATCTCATTCAAACCACCATAAAACGTAAACTAAGAGCATCATGTTCGTGATGTAAAGAAGTTGCTAAGGAATCCCACTACATAGTGCCACGAGGCGAATAGCTCCATGTCATCGCGTTCGGGCGCTTTCTTTTTAGTTCGGTTTCTTTATGGACAGTCCTTGTATATAGACTTACAATAGATATTGTAATACAGAATTGTAATATACAATTAATACTATCAAAGAGGTACTCAATAGATGTTAGATGTTATTTTAATTTTGTATAACTTTACTTTAATTGATATTAAAGCCAAGTTATCAACCAACATAAACAGATGGGCTATAAAAAATAATAGGATAAAATCGGCGCGCGTTATAAAAACAAGTTCGGTATCAAATTATTTATTACAATTACATACCATTACAATTACATACATTAATTGCGCATTTTTTATTAAATAAACTAAGTGAAATGTATTATATAATTGAAATACTCTTTTTTAATTTACGCTTTAATTTATGTATAATTT